GGGGGTAGCCAAGAACTTTACTTCGGAATCATTTCCCTTTGTTTCTACCGTGAGCAAGAAAAAAGGAAGGAAGAAAGTGAGATAAGCCTAAGTGGTTTGCCCGGTATAATCTCATCCACCTTCTCCCACTGAGTGTGCAACTCTGCAGGGGGTCTCCGCCCCAGACAGGTTTTCCTTTGGTGGGTGGGAGTGATGAGAGCGGGTGGGAGTGATGAGAGCGGATGGGAGGAAGCTTGGGGCTTCCCCCGCCATCTAGCCCCCTACCTGGGGTAGCATCTAGGCTTGGTTCTCTGTAATTATCCTGCTAGAGTTTTTCATTTCCTGAGGGAGAATGGTTAAAGATAGCAAAAAGGAGCCAGGTCTACGGGATCAGTAGCAAGTGTTGAGAAGCAATCCAAACTCAGACTTTGGATGAGACCAGGAATCCCAGGCTCTGAGCACTGCAAAGGACTTATGAGATCAGTCCTTTTGAGTCCTGCATTCTATGGATGGAGAAATTGAGTCCCAGAAAAAATTATGCAGCTCAACTCAGATCACAGTGTATAGTAGTATAGCACTTTTGTGCAAATGAGTCCCTTGTGCAAAATGGCTTGTTTTTTGTGTTCTCTCTATGTGTGTGGGCTTCCCACCTCCATGCTCTCATGGCCAAACTATGACATAAACTCTTACAAGGCAGAATGATGGTTATTGGGAGGATATAAACAGAGATATTCAGACCAGTGGTTTCTAGACTGTCAAGATAGGAGAAACTTTGAGACAGCGTCTGTTGGAAGGAGCAGCCGGGGGACTTGTTTGGAGTTGGGTTTGAATAGCATACACAGGCCTCTACTTTGGTTGGATTCTGTTTGGGGTCGTTATGATGGGAGGCTGACGATGGTTATGAGGAGGCTAAATAAAGCCCCCACCCCCACCCCCAAGCCACGACCTTGTTATTGCCAGTGACCTAGACCCTGCAAGTGTAAAAATAATAGAAACAGAAATTACTTTTTAACATTTCAGGAGTTATGAAATTCATCTTATATAAAAATTCCACAAATTAAGAACCTAAAATGGGCAACATCTTGTTCTGGGCTTCCTTCATTTTAAATCTGCAGACTGTGATCATAATTTATTACCATCATTTACTGCATATTTATTTTTACAAATAGTCATATTCCCAAATTTAAAGGATGAAATAGCATGAAAAAATGCATTGCTTAACTAGCATTGTTAATAATAAAGAGGAGAATATCCTTCATTGAATTAGTTAAGATTGGGTAAAGAAAACTCCCTTTCTAAATGCTATATTGTTTGGTCCATATTTTAAGTTAACTTGACCTTTAAAGGCTTAATTCTGAGCACATGAGATCACCTTCAGAGTTTATACTTTACTCCCTGTCTGAACTGCAAGACTTGTGATTTTAATCTTAAGCTTCACTAGAACTGCTTCAAGAATGTCAAAATAGAGAGAACACAGTTACATCAAAAAGTGGTCTGAAACTTAAATATTTGAGGTGTGTGTGTGTGTGTGTGTCTGTGTGTGTGTGAATGATGTGGGGGAGTGCTGTCTAAATCCATAACTGTAATTGTAGATTTTAAAACTTTTGGATTCTATAGGCTCAGCTGTGACTACATAAATAATTACATCATCATATAATATTGCAGCAAGCCTTCCAAGTATAAGTTCATTTTTTGTTTTTTTGTTTTTTTTTTTAGTACAAATCAGCATCTCAAGAGAAATCTCTTAACTTATGAAGCAGAGAATGCAGGAGTGGGGGCTTGAATGGAAGGGAAGCTTTCAAGCCCCATTTTGTCAACGTGAAGGGGAATGGGCTTCGCCTGGTGACTTGTGGACCAGGCTGCACTAATACACTTGCCTAAGATGGGAAATGACCAATCAGAGCAAGCTTTTGGAAAGTTTCTGTTGGCCTGGAATCCTGGGAAATACTATCTGTCATCTTTATAGAAAAAGATCCACACTTGATTCCTTGGCATAATATCCATTAAGATTTTTTACATTTAGATGTCTTATCCCTAAAATATGGTAATAAAACTGATTTTACTCACTGGTAGCTTGGAGAGTCATAACAAAGCACTTTGTAAGAAAAGATGGTAATGATGTATAAAAAGACCAAGAC